CTCTTATGCAACCAGAACTGACATTGATGGAATATTTTTCTAGTCTGAAATTTAATATCGTTTTCTTGGGTATTAGGTACTAATATATTTTCAAAAAAGTTAATCAAACTTGTTAAATGTTCTTGTTAAATATACTTGTTGTTAAATGTATTTGTTAAATGTACTTGTTACATGTACTTGCTGTTAAATGTATTTGTTAAATGTATTTGTTAAATGTATTTGTTAAATGTACTTGTTAAATGTACTTGTTAAATGTACTCGCTGTTAAATGTATTTGTTAAATGTACTTGTTAACTGTACTTGCTGTTAAATGTATTTGTTAAATATACTTGTTAAATGTACTTGTTAAATATACTTGTTGTTAAATGTATTTTTTTTAAACGTACTTGTTAAATGTACTTGTTGTTAAATATATTTTTTAAAATATACTTATTAAATGTACTAAATAAATGTACATCTTTCTTGCATACATAAATTGTAACATTTTATCAAAGAAAAAAATTAAGACGCAATGTAAATAATGTTCTTGATTCATTAAATATATCAGCTTGTCGAAGTGCAACGTGAATTCATGAAATGTTTCCACCCCCTCATCAAGTCCGACATTACTCAAAATTGCAACAGATTGTGCGACAGAATTGAGAAGATTACGCGTTTCGAAGATTCAAAATCGTGTCGCCGTATTCGCTAATTGCCCCAGCCTCATTACCATGAAACGAACCCTCATTATCGTGAGACACCCTCTGCAACTCGAACATTCCTCCAGCGCAGTGTTGCGCAAACTCCTTCGCTACATCCACTAGATTTCAAACTTTCTCCTCCGCTGGATAATAGAAACCGTAGGAAATTGAATAACCCGATTCTCATCGAACTATGCGAACCCTTTGAGAACTTAAACATAACTGCGAATATAATCTTCTGACATTCTGTGCATATAAAACAGAGTACCTTACAGTGAAAACTGAAATACTGACGCTGACAGTGAACATATGTATGTGTAGCTGTAAATATATGAAAATATGTGTAGCTGTGAATATGTGAAAATATGTGTAACTGTAAATATATGAAAATATGTGTAACTGTGAATATGTGAAAATATGTGTAGCTGTAAATATATGAAAATATGTGTAACTGTAAATATGTGAAAATATGTGTAACTATAAATATATGAAAATATGTGTAGCTGTGAATATGTGAAAATATATGTAACTGTAAATACATAAAATTATCTGTAACTGTAAATATATGAAAATATATGTAACTATAAATATATGAAAATATGTGTAACTGTAAATATGTGAAAATATCTCTAACTCTAAATACATAAAAATATCTGTAACTGTAAATATATGAAAATACTTGTAATTGTAAATACATAAAAATATCTGTAACTGTAAATACATAAAAATATCTGTAACCCTAAATACATGAAAATATCCGTAACCACATAGCAAAAGACACCCACGAAATAAGTTAACTACATAACCGTATGCAAATCAATAAAAACCATAAATATTAAAAAAATGGCAAAAGTTAGCAAAAGTGATTTATGATGACAAAAGTTTAGACCTGATCGATGAAGTCTGAGCACCGTTTCCACTGCACCAGAATTAATGCATTAATTAAGGTCGAGAACAGCTCCCAAAGAAATACTTATCATTAACAAGGAATTAAGCAACAGTGGAAACAGTGAGCCCGTACAATGAAGTATTACGTGACTACTATAAAGAAAGCACGGTTCGTTATTTGCGTAGTAGTCACAGCAAAAGGAAGCCGTTTAATCGATGCCACGTCGTTCTTACATATTTTCGACCTGAATTCTCATCTCGACGTACAAGGTCGTATTCGACGATGCATGAAATCGAACAGAACGAAATGGAACGATCTTTCGAACCTTATCAGATTTTATTAAATCAAAATCAAACTAATTAAATATTTAAGATCACATGGCGCTTATCTTTTCATGTGCGAATTGAAATTTTGTATATCAAGCATGAATCTCATTGAGTACGAATTTCATCTTCTTTGAGATTTCAAAAAGTATATTATATGCATATACATAAGCTTTCATTAAAAAATATCGAATATTGAATATGGAAATAAGTTACTCTGTAAAGTTCCGTTTTATTAAAAACTGTCGGGTGAATTAAGTCGCATGCATTATTCACACGTGTATTATACCGAAGATTCGATGATAACGCGTCACCGTATAAAGACATTAAGACCGAGAGAAAATTGCTCGGTTTTCTCGCAAGGTCCACATTTAGCCTCGTCCAGAGCGTGGAACGAGTACACGTGTTACATAACGCTTCGTGCCATGTTAAAGACCCGACGGTCACAATCGATAACAGAATTCAATTAACAGCTGTTCCCTCTGGTTATTTTTCGCAACAACCGCCCACCTAACGCGATTACTTAAAATGTCGTGAATGTCGTCAAACGTTGAATCATTTGTAGCGTTGAAGACATACCTAACTACTTCAAAGGCGAACAATGGAAGGCGTTAAATCGATTCCGTCGTATGCGTTAACACTTTGAATAACGTAGGGGTCTCTAGTCACCTGTCTCACAAACTTAGAAACGCCGAGACAAACGTTTGACCGCACAAGCCGTTGCAATGTGTGACTATGCGTTACGATACAACACGCTATGCTACAAAATGTCTTTATGTAACACGTGAGAATACAACTGGCTATGCAACACGTGGAGCTACAATGTGCAGAAATTCTACGTATGGAGATACCAACTGTAGAAATTCAACACGTGGATGTTCAACGCGTGGAAATATTGTAGGTTGAAATTCAACGTGTGGAGGTGTGATATGTGGGAGTGCAATGCGTACAAATTTTATGTCTTCAAATTCAACATATGGAGGTGTGATATATGGGAGTGCAATGCGTACAAATTTTATGTCTTCAAATTCAACATATGGAGGTGTGATATATGGGAGTGCAATGCGTGGAAATTTGGTGCGTGGAAATACAGAGCGTGGAAGTAGTACGCGTGGAGATATGACGCGTAGAAATACTACGTGTGAAAGTACCATACGTGGAGATATGGCGCGTGGAAATACTACGCATGAAAATACCATACGTGGAGACATGGCGCGTGGAGATATAGCGCGTGGAACTACGGCGCGTGGAAGTACTACGCGTGAAAGTACTACGCGTGAAAGTACTACGCGTGAAACTATGACACGTGGAAATATTACGCGTGAAAGTATGGCGCGTGAGACTACGGCGCGTGGAAGTACTACGCGTGAAAGTACTACGCGTGAAACTATGGCGCGTGAAAACACTACGCGTGAAACTATGGCGCGTGGAAGTATGACGCGTGGAACTGTGGTGCGTGGAAATATGGCGTGTGAAACTACAGTGCGTGGAATTACGGCGCGTGGAAGTATTACGCATGGAAATATAGCGCGTGGAAATACAGAACGTGGAAATATAGCGCGTGGAAGTACTACGCATGGAAATGTAGTGCGTGGAACTACAGCGCATGGAATTACGACGCGTGGAAATACAGAACGTGGAAATACAGAGCGTGGAAGTACAACGCATAGATATACACCGCGTGGAATCAAAATGTGAGAAAACATCAATAACTAGCATATTCCATAAATAATTTCATGTGAAGTATACCGAGTCGAATGTTCAAACATTAAAAATTCCTTTGTGAGTCGATTAATTTCCATAATAAAGCACCATCTCGGTTTGTTTGAGAAAATTACGATACCCGCGGGTAGTAAATATCCTCCTTTTATTTTCAATGGTACGCGTCCTAAATTTCGCGATAACTCTCCGTTTTCATCTGGAGCTCTTAACGAACAGTGTAAAAGAATCGCTACTACGGTTCGACAAAGGAACCTGACCTAAATATCCGTGAAAAGAATTTTCCTTTCACGCTATCATAATTCCTGCATCACAATTAACTGTCTCCATTCAATCTGCATTGAAATTCAAATCTGGAAGCTTGGGATAAAATGTCGGGTTTTCCTGTTGCGCGAGCAACAGTGTCCCATAACGCGACGCCGAAGGCACGAGACATCATGGGCTTCCCATCGGCCGCAAAAATAGTCTAACAACCGTACGAGTGTACGTTGTTCCCGATCGCGTGCAACAAGCGAGTACCGAAAGGGAACATTCTTCTTTCGGCTGTTCCCGAAATTCCCGTGTCCCCGTTTACGGCAGACAAGGTAGTTCCATAGAAAGAGAGGAAAAAAGGCAGCCAGAGGCTTTGTTCGTAAAAGGAACGTGACCCAAATGGGATGGGCGAGAGAGAAAAAAGGAATGATTCCTCCCCTTTGCTTCGATCCACCCAAAGATCCGCAGTAGAATCAACGATCGGGCTGGCGGGTGTGTCACCGAACGTGTGTACGTGTGTGTGAATTGACGCGTAATCGTGTGCGTGTCGACGCATGGCCAGAATTGGTCGCGTGGTCACCGGAGAAAATCATTAAACGAACAAAAGAAGAAGAACGGAGAGCCGTTCTTTGGCCAATATATCTGGTCCCATGGGAGCTGTAGCGTGTTATCGTCGCGGCCGACTACCGCAATTTCTCTATAGCACAGAGGATCGTCCAATCGGCGGGTGTGTCACCCCCGTGGCTCGACGCA